TGTATTATTAATAAGCTGTAAATTTTATTGCAGAGTTTTATTGCACTTATTATAATTATTCAGAAGCAAGTCCATTCCAATTTTTACAATAATCAGCAAGAATTATATGTAAAAACAATATATGGGAGGCAGCTAAATAATAAACCACAATAACCCATGATATATCCTTAGATGACCCAAAGCAATTAAATGCGCATGTTAAACATTTTCTCCACACGTAAGAAATACAGTATAGAACCGATATGAATATTATTACTGAAATTACTATGCTTATCCAAGTTAGAACAGTAATATCGTTTGGGCTATGATCAGTTGCAATGAAAACGAAATTTGCTGAAGCTACCCAACCACAAACGCATAATGCAAATGTTGCGAAGGCAATAAAGCAACGAAAATTATCATCGAGGAAGTCACCATCATCGTAGTCATATCCATGAACATAGTTCTTGGCCAGAAGGAAGGTATCTGGTGCAAGCTTACTCAATGCAATAAGTATAAACGTCCAATTATGACTACATTGGATACATGTTAAAATAACTGGTCCTGTCAAAGTAACTATTTTGAAAATTAATATCCACATTTTTTTCTTTTTTGGTGATTTTGCGTATATGAATATAGTGATAATGGACGATACTATCCAACAACCCACTCCCCATGTTCCGTATGGCAACGCATAACATGATATTTCTTGCAGGAACTCTGTTTTTCTATTACTCATTTGGTTAGTCCTGGAATTTCGAATACAAGATAATTCTTTCCAATAATTCTTTTTTCGAAATTAGCATTTAAATGTTTATGCTAAAGTTACACGAATTTAATTTTTTTTTTTTTTTTACCAATTTCATACGTATTCATATACATCTATTTGAATTTCTGATTTCGGAATTTAAAAAAAAATTAAAAAAAATGAAATGTTTTACGTAAACATCACTTATTTTTCTAAAAATGTTAATTTTGAACACCCCATTTCACAAATTGTTTCACATCTTTATTGGAGAGTTACATCGGTAATATTGTATAGTAGCACATTTGTCAATTATACAAACAAATAAGTTATTTTGAGTATATACATAACACTCAATTTTTGAGTTGTAACTAGAATTGCACGCTGCCAGTTCAAACTAACGATTAGATATAACGGTTGGTATGATAACATAATGTAATCAATTATTGATAATTGTTGATGTTTTTATTTAATCTAGTAAATCGAAATTAATTTTTGTTGAATGATTTTAAATTATTCCTTTTTAAATTAAAATAGAAGAACTCGGCATTCATTATATAAGACTAGTTTAAAATATAAATATAAAAAGGTATATAAACAAAATCTGATTATCTCGGATTTTTTATATAGCTCTTGATCTCGCCTCACTTAGCCTTCTTGCAAATCTAGTTTTATTTAAAAAAGGAAAAATTTTAAACGTCGTTAACAAGATAATTGTTTAACAGTTTAACTGTGTTAACCGAAAATTCAGCTAGCATTAAATAATTTTGGTTCATAACTAACATAATTCTGCCTGGAACCATGAAACAATTTTTAATTGGTTAAATAATTTAAATCACTATTGAACATTTAAAATTAGAATTTTTTTTAGAAAACTCGTTATGAATTGAATTTGAAGTCGATGTATATTCTTTATGTATATTCATCGAAAGTTGCAATCAATAAACCAAGATTATTTTGTTTATTTCTAGTACAACTATCACATTAGCCAAAAGAAAATAAAAAACACTGAATAAGTTGAATAATGTAATACTGAGCATACTGAATAATTATAATAAGTGCAATAAAACTCTGCAATAAAATTTACAGCTTATTAATAATACAGTATTTATATTGCACATATTTACATATTAACACTTGATAATGATAAAAAAGCTCTCAACCAATGTCACAACAAATGAAATGAATCGGATCTGATCCATATCTTTAAAAATATTCGTCCGATTCATTTGTACAATGTTGCTCTAATTTTTTTATTCGTAGTTAGTCCATAATTTTGTCGTATATGCTGTGCCTCATACTAACACTTGCGTCAAGTGTCTCTTTGGCATAAGTTAAGGTTAGGTTATAGTTTAGGTCAGTCTGTCAATTCTGGTCAAATGATCATTATGCAGCTGGCACAAGCATTAATCAGAGGCATAATGTATATTTTTTATTTGGATCAAAATCTGGAGCATGGATAATTAAGGCATAGTTAAGTGGGATTAACTCTGCGAGGGTTAGAAAACCCAAGAGGGTTAAAGACTCTCAACAATGGTGAATCATCATCAGGCAGGGAGGAAACCCCTCAGTAAGTGTTTAAAGCCCTAATATAGAATTAAGATGTATAAAAGTTGAATTTTAGTTTATAGAATTAAGATGTATAAAAGTTGAATTTTAGTTTATAGAGGAAGATATGATCGTTCGCATATGTATTAAAGAGAAGCGTTAATAAAGAGAAATCTATATATCTTAATGATTAAACTTTCAACTTTCATTAATCCTGAACCCCTAATTAAACATTAATCCCGCAAGAATTATATAATGCTCAAGCTAAATCGCATATGCTCACATGTTACTCTCTCAAACCAGTGTGTTACAACGAAACATTAGGCTTTTTGAATCAAAATTTGGACTAATTTGTGATATAAAAACTTGAACAATCGAAAATTCCCTCAAAAACATGGAATGGGTTAAAAGATGCTTTCTATTGTTAATTATACAATTTTTTTCTCAAAAATATTATTAATTTAGAAATCACTTAAACTTTTAGAGTCTGAAGTTTCATTTGTATATTCAACGATTCGAAATTTACCAGTCACAAGAATTATATTTTCCATATCAAATGAGTGCGTCAAGGGAAAACCTGTCATCGGGCTTTCAATGTTCAGTTCACGAACCAAGCGTCACCCAAAAATCTGTTACGTTTAAACTCAATTAATTTTATAGTTCCGATAATTTAATATGTA